AACCTAAGTAAGCTTCATATAAAAGATAATACTAAGGTACCTGGTTTCTAACAGGCTTTGCTTATCTTCCCTGTGCATGAAATCATGCTCCCAGAGGTCTGTCGTACCCAGTCCAGCACAGGATTAGACAAATAATGGGCTCTTAAACAGCAGCCAAATGAATGGGGGAGAAGTGGTAGAACTTGGAACATCAATCTTATTTCAGGAGGGGCAATTGCTTTCATTCTGTGCTTTGACAAGCCACATAAACTCCAGCTTTTCCTGTGGAACATCTGGTGGCTGATACAGTATTCAAACATGGCCACTTACTAGAGACAGTTGCAAGGCCCTAGACCCCATTTTTCAGGGATGTACTCATTACCCTTCCTGCCTCTTGACAACCTGATCTCCCTCCTCTTGTATTTGTATTTTGGCTGGGGAGTTGCAACACCCAAGCAATTATTTAAGTCAGAAAATGCAAGTCATTGGGCCTCCCTGGTGGTACAGCGGTGGAGCGCTGGGCTGCAAAGCTGCCCGCAGCCTCTGAAGTGCCAGTTCACTCCCCGGCCACCAGCAAGGGTCCCACATGGTGTGCAGACCTCTCCTATCATACCCGCTGCTCCCCTTAGCAGTGTACTCCATCAGTCTGCCTGTTCTGCTCCCCGCTCTGGTGAATTCTCTCACCCTCCGGCATTTCTGACTGTACCCAGTGCTTGTATAAATGAATAAATCTTAAAAAAGAAAAGAAAATGCAAGTCATTATCTTTTCTTTACTTCCTGCATCCAACTAGCCAACCAGGCCTTGTGACTCCCTACCCTGAATACCACTAGAGCTCACCCCTTCTTTTAAGTTCTTTCAAGTATGGCCTCAGTTCAAGCCCTCTCTCCATTGTCCACCCAGTGGTATCTTCAGAGTCTTATTACCCAGTCACCAGTGACCCCCCTCAATGCAAAGATGACCACACTAATCCGAGGCAAGAAACACTTGTTGGACTCCTACTTACTGAATGGATTTTCGGATATATGTAAATGTGATGGTTGAACTGAACTTGGTAGGGCTTGAGAGGGGGCATGTATTCCTCAGGAAATAGAGCTGGTATATTACATTTATCATTTATTTACTAACTGAATGTTAATTCATTTAGTGAATTTTGAGGTTTTCTTTTTATATTTCCAAATGCTATTTTCTTAATTGGACATTCTTGAGAAAATGGACTGAAAATACAGAATGAAGAAAAACCACAATGAGACACCACCTCACACCCATCAGAAGGGCTACTATTAAAAGGCAGAAAACAACTGGTGTTTTCAAGTATGCAGAGGAACTGGAACCTTTATGCATTGATGGTGGGAATGGTATAGCGTCTGTGGGAAATGATGTGCAGTTTCTCAAAGAATTCAAAACAGAATTTTACCATATGACCCAACAATTTCACTTCCTGGAGAGAAATCTGAAGCACAGCTGAGGGGAATGACTTAGGATTCCTAAGGGGTAGGTGTCCTGGGTTGAATCTCTAGTTTTGTTCCACCCTTTTTGTTCTCTAAGTTAAGGCATTGCTATAGACTTCTAACATCTTCATATCATATGAAGAAGAAATCACTTCTAAATTTCCTGCAATGCAGTATACATGCCGACTGCTTCTCACTTGAATTCTGATTCCCTTGGCCTAATTCTTCATTTCATCCCTCTTCCCATCTTTTACTCGGGGATCCTGAACTGGGGGGTCATCTGGGAGGTGACCCAAGCCACATAAATGCTTTCTTTCACATAACATGCCTCTTTCAGTATTTGGAACATGTATACCCAGAGAAATTAGTGAAAAACTTTTCCCAAAAGGACTCAGGTGCACACTACAATTTTATTCTTCATCACTTATCAAGCATGTTATAGGAATGCCACTTTAAATTGCAGGAATTCATAATATAAGTCTTTCTTCAAAAACTTTCACACTAATGGGAAACTCACAAGAATCAAATGTCTAGCTGATAGCTGGTCCTCCCTATCTCTGCATCTCAGGAACAAGCACACCAACTGCCCAACTATTTAACCCTGAAACCTGGGAATTATTCTGATTCCACAAAGTTCTGCGTCCATGGCTACCACCCATTTACAAGTCACTGCTACCTTTTACTTGGACTAAGTAAATAGCTTTCTATGCTTTTGTTATCCAAATGACATACTCCTTAGATCTGTAGTCAGTATATCTTCAGGTCACTCTCCTGCTCTCTAATGGTTTCCCGGAATCAAACTTCTTCCAATGAGAACATGGTCTTACGTGAGCTGCCCCTGGCTACCCCCCACCTCACCTTCTACTCTTCTTGCCTACCGTAATCCATCTACTCTGGCCCTCTTTTCATCTTCACATCATTGTACTTGTTTTTCCCTCTGCCTGGAAGACTCTTCTTTTTCATCCTTCTGTTACATTAGTATCATCTTCCCATTACCCAAGACTTAGATTAAATGTTCCCTCCTCAATAAGCCTTCCCTGCTCACTTCATCAAATACTGTCCCAAAACATTCTATTTCATTTCATTTTCACTTTCTGCATTTGTACTTGTACATGATCTGTGACTGTTTTTCTCCCCCAACAACTATAAATGATGGTGCTGGTGTTGGTAACTTCACTCCTGTGCTGGAACCAAGTCTGCTTCACAGGAGATGCACAGAAAAGTCTTGTTGATGGATGAGTATCCATTGCAAAGAACAAGATCAGAATGACAGAAAGGGAGCAAGGCGGAGTGATCAAGGGGTATTTATTTTATAAGTGGGGAGGAAAGTTTGAGCAGTTTCTGGAGGAGAGACTATATTACTACATTTTGGAGGACAAAATTGTGGCACCTGGAATGCATGCCAGACTCTGGAATTAGCAAAGGAAAAGCCCCCAACCAAAGGCATGACCACTCCAAATAGTGTAAGTAATGAAAATGGAAGGTGAAATGGTCACACAGGGAGGAGGCACTGGATGAAGAATGCAGATGGTGTGGAGTTTGAGTCACATAGTATGGTGCTAGAACTTTTACTTTTTAGACCATGGAAAACATTAGTGAAAAGTTCTAAGGATGAATATTAGTACACGCTGACCTATATCTTATAAATACCAAGAAAAACCATTTGAACTTAAAAGCAAGCAAACAACAAAAAAAGGCATTCTCCTATCTGTAAATGCTAGGGAAAGGAAGTCTACAGCTGGTGACCCTGTGTCTAAGAGAAAGGCGCTGATCAGACACATACTATTTTCAAATGGTTCTAGTAAAAGGCACACCATCAAGGACAAAAAAGCTAGTTACCTGGATTGCAGGATTGGAACTGGGTTCTGAGCAGGGATATGAGCCCAAAAAGCACTCTTCAAATCACAGAACATAACTGAACAGTTGGAATCTCAATCCCTTAAACTGCAATTAACCCTAAAGACCTGTATGTATATTATGTTAAATTTTAAACAAAGTGAACATATAAATAATTCAATGCCACTCACAATAGAAGGCAGAAGTTAAAACTAATATAAGGAATTAAAGGCCTATCAATACAACAAAATGCATTTCTAAAGTACAGATACTCCAGTTCTTTTGAAATATTGTCATGTTTCAGAGGTCTTATCAATATGGCTGATTCTGAGACAAATTATTTAATGAGTGAAACTCCATCAATAAACATGTATTAAGATACAAAGGCTGAGGCTACAAAGGCTGATACAAAGCAGTAAACTGCATGAGTCTAACTTCCAGAAGTTCTGGATGGAGGGAGAGGCCAAGTAGCATGCAATCATGGTATTGCACTAACTGGGGTCTTGGTTGTTATTGCTGTTGTCATTATTATTATTATTATATATATTTTTTTTTGTTCAAAGCATCAGATAACTCACCTATAAAATAAGGAATCCAAAAACACAATCAAAGGTCCCTCCCAGTTTCAAACTACAACAATGAAGAAATTCCTTACAGACATGTCTGCTATCCACAAACCAAAGGACTGCCTTGAGCTGAAGTGGGCGATGCTGCTGAGCACATGGCCCAGCGTTTGTGAGAAGGGCTGAGCTGCAGCACTATGGGCAATGGAACCTGTCCCCAGGCTTGAACAGGCCCCCAACTGGAAAAAGACAGGTAGTAACATGTTCGGAACAGGGCTGGGAATGAGATTGACATGAATTTGCACCATGCTCTAACTAGAAAAGCATGGGAAAGCAACGGTAAATAAATTCTCCAGATGTGACAGGGGCATAGAGCAGCTATAAGAATTACAAGAGATCATAGATGTGAGGCGCTTAGCACAGTGGCTCGACACTACCAAATAAAGGTTGGTTCTAGAATGTGTTGTTACCAGTTTTACCTGATTTATTTCGGTATTAGATTTACCTCCATTGATTTACATAAGACTCTCCCTGCAGGAGAGAGAAAATTATGGAACCTCCCAAAAATGGAAAGGACCCCAAAGTCTTTTCATCTGGTTTCCTGTCTTCAGTCATTTTAATTTTCGCTGATGAAACCACTAAGACCTGAGCAGTTAAGCTGACCACCCAAAGACATCTGGTCAGGAAATTCACTTCAAACGCAGTATCATTCATGCCCTCAATGGTACTCTAGAGCTTGGAAGCAGTGAATATAACTTCCTGGGTTATTTGGTAACAAACCTGTTTCTGTTACTATAATAAATGCATAGAACCGCATAAAAGCATCTAAGCCAAGGGAATCAGGCACTAAGTAATCAAAGTATAACTCTAAAATATTACCCAGTTATGAAAATGATAATGAGGCTCCTAACAACCCTTACTAATGCTTATTAGGTTGTGAAGCCAAAAAAAAAAAAAAATCAGAATATGAAATCTCATTTATGTTGTGATTATAACTATGTAAAATTATGTACATATATAGCGAGGGTTGGAAAGGATCTTGGAAAATAACCCAAGAGGATCTTACATGGCTGCAGGGGTGCAGCAGCTTTATTTTTACCTAGTGATTTTAATGGGCGAACACAATAAAAACCGCAACAGTGGTAATCCCGGGGCGGGAGACCCGCCGCTGACTCACCCGGGTTATACAACATGACGGCAGAGAGATTCTCACGAGACTTGGAGAGGTCAGTCATGGACAGGCTGAAGGAGGACAGAAGGCCACTCTAGGAGCAGACACAGGGCAGAGCAGTCACCCAGCAGGCCAAGAGAGGCCATTCCCCAGACTCCCTGCTTTCGACCTAGAGGGGCAATGAGGTGTGCACGCTCTTCACGAGCACAGGCGACACCTGTCCACCTGAGGATGGCAAGGCAGGACAGCCAGGTCATCGCTCCATTTCAAATTAGGGCCTCAGCTCGGCACAGCAGAGCCCTGGCCTACTCAAACTGGGAAGCTGTGCTAGGAGCCCCACAGCTCTACTGGCCTCCCCTACCAGGCTGTGTTAAAGTCAAGGGAAAGGGGCCTCCCTGGTGGTGCAGGGTCTAAAGACACCACTATCAAGCTATTAGCAGTCACTGCAGCATGAGTTCGATCCCCAGCTGGCCAGGGAGCTACCCATATGGCACAGCAGACCACTCCTATCTCCCTGGCTGTTCCCTTCAGCCATGTATTTCAGTACATCTGCCTGTTCAGCTCCCCACTCTGTCTCTGGTGAATCCTCTCACCCCTGCACCTCTGGCCTACACCCCAGTTCTTGTATGCATAAATAAATTAAAAAAAATAAATTCAAGGGAAGGGGCCAGGGCATCTTGGTCACCCTCCATCCCTGGCAGGAGCTGTGTCCTGTTATCAGCAGCACTCGCTTACATTTACTGAGTGATAAAGATGAAGGAGGAAGAGGTGAGGGCAGGCCAAAAAATGAAGAGCTTGACCTGTTTTGCTTCCATGAAAAGCTATTAGCAAATATATTTTTTGCCTTCTCTTCCTCTGCAACTGTGTACCAAAAAAGACCTCCAGGGAGAGCCTGGGCTGGAACAGATAAGAGGCTTCACTGGCTGGAACAAGCAGCCCTAAAGAAGACTAGGGTTTGCAGCTTTCTTGTTATTTCCCATCTAAGGCACTGACACTTTGGGCAGGGCTTCAAAAACAGGCTGAGCTGTGCAACTCAGTGTGAAGGGCAAATATTTCTGAGTCGGCAGGCCAGAGTTGCAGCCCTTGCTCCCTACTTGTTGGCCGTGGAACAAGTTAGTCTCATTTTCTCATCTCAATCATCTGTAACATGAGGGTTGTTAACAGGTGCTGTGCAGACAAAGTGGTAAAATGTAGGTAGAAGCTTTAACACAGAGCCTAGCTCATAGAAATGTCAGCTATAGTCTATTGCTTTCTTCAGTCTAGGACAGCATGATGTCCATAGATAAATTTCTTCTTTCCTCCCTCTGATTCTCTGCCCACCTCCCCCATTCAGCACTTAAATGTTAAAAACTAGGTGTTCCCATCCAACCAAGCTGAAGTCCTAAACTCGCCCCTTCACTGTTTTATACCTTCCTCTCACCAACCAAAACTCTAATCTTCTGTGCAGGAAAATAGAGAGTTAGCAAATTGTCTGGATGAAAGTGATTCTGATATTGGGTTAACTCCTAAAGTAGACTTGTAAGTGGAGTCACTCTCCACTCAAGGCAAAATGATGCCCAACTCCTTTATGGAGTGGAGGGTCAAAGACAGGGTCTAGAAGGACTCCTTTCTCCCTGCCTGCTCTGGACTCTTCCTGCTTCTACCTCATCAGCTAATCATCTGCTGGGAAACAAACTCCCTGGAATCAGTTCAAGAATGACTTTCCCAGTGGTTCTATGCTCCAGAAAGTCAAACTATTGGAACCAGGGTGAAGATCCAGTCCCCCAGTGCTACCCAGATCAGAGGTTCACGGTGAGGGATTTCATACTGCTCACCTTCCTCTTCTCTCTGAGCTTGGCTGCTTCCTTTGGGTGGTTAAAGCGGAACATATTGGTTCTTCCCAAGAGTATCACGGCACCTAAGAAAACACACAAAAATCAGTAGCCAATTTGGTCAATTAGTAACATCATAGCATAGAATTCTACAGTTGAAATGCAATGTCCAGTGTGCTGTAAAATAATAATAAAGGGAAATTTCAGTCTCAAAAGTCCACTTACATAAGCCAGTTTTAAACCTGTGAGTACTTTTATATTTACAGCTGTCACTCATGTTACCCATGGCAGAAGTGATAGATCTAAGCACAAAACCATACTATGAGATTTAAAAGTTAATACATAATCACATTTTTGTTTAGAAGAAAAAAAAGAAGTCAGATCCCCAGGGAGAAGCAAAGCATAAGCTCACAAATTTTGGAAATGTTTACTAATGTTCATAAAAATAAACAGCTCAAAGGATACAAAAGAAAACATAGTAAAAATGGCAATGGGCAGGTAACTATTATTAAAGTCTCTCAGGATTTGACAAGAGAGTAATTATGCACAAGTATGGTCAGTGTCCAAGTGAAAACACTGTTTCTTGTGGAAATCCTGTTAACATTTAGGTGGCCACACTGTATATACAAGAAAATTTCCTTTGATTGACATGGACCCTGCTCATTTGGAAAACAGCACAAAGGGCAAAAATAAAAAAAAAATATTGTTAAATGTGTAAAGGTAACAAAATTATTAGGTAAAGGGCACCAAATTTCAGCTTGAATAAGCAACAAATAAACACTTTCTAAGGCTGCAGCTATTCAAAGACATTTAAGAGAAACAATGATGCAGAAGAGATTCACCACCCTATCTAAGTCTAGTCACATCTGAGATTCTACCACATCTGAGAACTGATACCATGTTCTTGCCCTGAAGAATGCAACTTATCTGTGAAGATAAGATATATGTATCAGAAGTCAACATGTGATGAGTGCCAAACATTTAAGTGATGAGAGCAGTCTGCAACAGCTGGAGCCAGACTTTTGCATTGAGGATCTAAGTTGGGTCTCAAAAGACACTTGGAGGACAAGAGCAAGAGTTCCATGTGAGGGTAAACATGAGGAGGGTAGCTAAGCCTTAGACAAGTGAATGAGCCACCTATGTCTGGAGAGAAGAGGAAGACTGGTCTACCCAAAATGCAGGACAGCTAAAACAGCAGCAAGAAGAGACACTGGATAGATGAAAAAGAAACAGACTCTGAAGACCTGCAAAGCAGGATAGTTTGCAACAGATGTCACAAACCAGTGGCTAGAAAAAAACTCAGCCTATAGACATATTTTGAGCAACCCATTCAAAGTTTATGAAACACAAATATTAGCTGCCGAAAGTTAAAAATTTGAACTTAAAAACCTGAGTTTCTTTCTAGCTTCCCTTCACAAACTGGAAGATAGAATATTAGTATATCGGTATTGCTACTTGACAAAAATCTCCAGCCTGCTGATGGCTGCCTCTTTTGGACAGGACACATAACATCTGGTTGACCTCTATCACTAGTGTCTCACTTGGGTACTATCTCCACTGGGACATTACAATACCCCCAGAGAGCTATTGCTTCAGACCAATATATCCACTTGCCTATTCAACATATTGTCTCAGATTCTCAGGGAGTTTCAAATTTCAACAGGGTTAAAAACCAACTGGTTAAGATTACAACCATGGGAAGCAACTAGTTCTGGTGGTGGTTATTATTTAGTGAAAACAGAATGAATATGAGACAGAGAACACAGTTTTAGGAAACTAAGAAGGTCAGTGGTGGGTATTATCGACTCCACAGTATGTTTATCGCCCTCAAATAAAATTTCATTTGCATATTTTCTAATTATGGAAAGGTACTATTACCATAATTAAGAAAGGTATTTCCCCTGCCTTTTATGACTAGGACTCAGAGCTTTGTGCCATACAGAAAGACAAAAGTTAAGCATCCACATCTAAGTTATATGTGTATTTAATGCTTTTAAAGTGACGTTAGAGATTAATAAGGCAATCATATTTGAGATGTTAATTATATCTAATCCTATTCTTTTTTTCCTGTTAATCAAATGTCCAGTCATGCAAGCTGAAAATTGCTGAAATATGTTAATGGAAAACAGAATAGTATTTCAGACATATTTCATATCATACTAAATCACTGAAAATAGTCTTACCACCCATGTATTTGCATGAAGCACACATAAAAAAGTCCTATAAAGAGCTAGAAAAGAAAACAAATCAATCCATGACTATTCCTTAATTCAATCTAAATAATGTGCATAAACTGTTTGACACACATACACAAAGGCTCTGTTCCATTCAGGCAGGTTTTCTTCTCATTCATCTATTGTATTCCTTTACTAAACAAACTTACAGACTTAGAATATTTCCTTGATTTTTACATGATGCTGCTGTTCACTTATCCATCCATTCAACAATACTTAAGGCTAGTCACTATAGTATGCACTGGGGGCACAGAGTTAAACAAATCAGACACTTGATTTGCCCTTACAGAGGTTATAAATAAATAGGAGAAAGAGGTACATAATCAAAGAATTCCACAAATAAATGCAAAGCTGGAAAGGAAAGGTAGCCTGTCCAGTGCTCAAAAGAACATATAAGAAGGGAGTTGCTTATAGGGGAGGTTAGGAAAGGATGTCCTAAGGGAAGAGGTATTTAAGACAAGCTGTGAGATAGGACAGAGTAGTATAAGATTAAGAGAATTTGATTAAGAGGGCACAAGAGAGGTAAGGAAATGGGTACTGAGTTGTGGTCTGCAATAACTTGTTAGAAAAGAAGCTGTTCACACAGATTAAGGACACTGAAAAAGGACCAATATTGGGTTGGGGAAAAATAATGAGGTTTGTTTTTGACTTAATGAATTTGAGATGGCTTAGGCAAGCAGAGATATGGATCAGAAGTTTCAGTGGAAAAGCCTAAGATATCGATCACTCTATCAATCTCCCAACCTACCTACCTACTACTTACTCTTGAACATATAGGAACAGAGAAGGGACTATCAAAGAAAAAGAAGGAAAACCTCAGAAGCCAGAAGGAATGGTCAACAAATGCAGAATGCTTCAGAGAGACCAGCCAAGATGAGAAGACTGGGAAATGCCATTGTATGACAGTACAGTGGTCAAAGGTAGCATCAAGGAGAGCAATTTTGATAGTAGTCAGAAGCCAACCTGGTGGGTTTGAGAAGTGAGTGACAGGTAAGGAAACAGATCTGAATGCAGACAACTCTGTTTAAAGAGAATGGCAGAGTTGGTCATATTTGGAGGGAGTGACAGAACTTGCGGATATTTTCTTTTTGTTAGAAGGAAACTCGTGAGTATATTTCCAAAATAAAAAGGGAATAATGAATGAATGAGAATGACTAATGATGTAAGGTTTCTGGCTGAGCCTAAGACCATGGGTCCTGCCCTGAATTCTTGGTGGCCCAAGAATGAGTCGCACTTAATCTCTCCAGAATTCAGGTTCCTCATTTTATCACAAAACTATATACTTTCTAAGTTTCCTTCCAAACCTTAAATTCTCTTTAACTATTAACTGCTCCTTTATCTGAGGTTAATGTTATTATTCACAGCAGATGGACTCTTTGTAATGCACTTAATTTGTAATTTTGAGAGTATAACCAAACCTCCTTGAAGTATATAATGTAATACACACACACACACACACACACAAATAAATCTCTGTGAATGAGAAACCACAGAAAGCTGGTTTCACTAATTTCCTATTATATTATTTTAGGTACAATGAAAAAAATTAAACATTTTTAGTGATGTCTAAGGAGAGTATGGATAATAATATCAATATCACTATTATACTCCTCAAATTCTATGAGATTTTTAAAATTCTACTACTACACAAAGAAATCAACTCTTTTTCCTATAAAGCGTAGACAAATGAAGATTTCTGAAGTAATGATGTAAGAATTATTTCATTCTGGATTGCAATTAACATAAACATAATATATAAAGTCAACTATGTTCCCAAAGTGCATGAACAGTGTAAAATGAGCTTAGAGACCACTGTGGCAATAAAAACCGGGCAGGAGGAACCTTTGAAATTCTGCTTCAGGGCTCATCATTCAGAAATTTCATTACTTTAGAAAGCCCCTGCATGCCCCTATACACAGACAAAATACAGAACACTACTAAAGCACGTTCAGTGAGAGAGAAGTTATCATTTAGGATATGACAGTCAGAAAAGCAAAGCTCTCACTAAGACCCTGTAATTTTCTGGACTAGTACTGAGTGAGAGATCTGAGTAAGACAGGACAGCTGAAATTCTTATTTCACTTCCCAATCAAGCAAAAAGAATTTTGCTGTGTATGATAATTTTCCTTATGATTTAAAATGTTTAAAAATATTTATATTCAAATGAGTTATAATGATAGCACCATTTTAAGGACCTAATAACGAGAGTCTAATTTCCACTGACATGCCAGTACTCAAGAAAAGATTAAGTAACATGTTCAAGGGCCTTTGACTCTGTGACATTGACTTTATTATTTTAAACACCTGAATTATAGTAATTATTTTCTATCTCAAAAAAAGGCTTTAAATTATAGTAATAATTTTCTATCCTCCAAAATGGCTTTGAGTAACAACATGGTGAAAATTAAGATCTGACATGGCTCTTATGGTGAATAAGAAAATTTCATATGAATACTCACAAATTCAAACACATGACTTGGGGTTGAAGGCCAGCAGGAATTAGTGAGAGGCAGTTGGCATCAAGGATAGTGAATGTCAGACTGAACCATGGCATTGGGTCATGAGCTAGTATTTATGAAGGATACAAATGCACAGGACACCTTACCAAAAAGTCACATATATCCTATAAATATGGATTTACAATTCCCTGCTTTAGATAAATCACTTAAACTTCTATTTACTCTTCAGTCAGTAAAAATGCAAACCTAGATTCTAGGAATCTGGAGAATAAAGAAAATTGATTTTTAATATTTGTTATTGATGGTTTCTAGCCAAATAAATCATAGAGAGGTGAGAACAGAGCTTTGTAAAACCCCAAGATGCTCCAGTTCCGGCCTCACGGAAATTGTTAG